AATTGACAAAAGGTACCTTATGGCGGATAGGAAAATTGGTCTTTATGGCCTAAAAAATCTAACTTCCTGAGCTCTAAATATCATTAAATTACTCCAGAGGATGCAAAAAGTTACTATGTAACTTGTAGAAACAGTTGTTGACTAATAGAGCACTCACAGGTTGATATTTTTCATTAGAATGATGAAGTTTAAAATCCGCCATAAGGTACCTTTTGTCAATTATGGTCACAAATAATGTATACATTAATACATAATTATATACTGAATTAATACACACAGATCCTATATCAGTAGCTGGACTCAGTAGAGAAGCAACTGGAACAAACAACTCATCAACTAGTGACCGTAAGTATAATACACGCTTATTTAACCTTCATTTGTAAGTGTCATTCATTGTGTCATTTAATTTGATTCCTCATTGTTTGTTTTAATTTTGTAGAACAAAATGTTCGTCAACAAGTAGAAAGTCAGGACAGTGATTCAACTAGTGTTCAGTCCCAATTATCAGAAGCTACTAAATATGCTGGTCTTGTTTACTATGAGGAGAAAGGTGTAGAAGATTTGGTTACCTTTACTGGAGCTAAGAAGCTAAATGCTCTCCTTGAAGTACCGTATAGCGGGAAATTTTGGAGGGAGTAAAATTTGGCGAATTGCTAAATTTTGGTTATTGGCGGATTTTAATTTGACGAATTAGTGACCACGTGCCATTGAGCATGCGTATAAAAGCTCAAAATGGCGGATTTTATTTTGGCGAATGGCTATCAAAACGCCAAATTCGCCAAATTTAATTCCCTCCAAAATTTCCCGCTATACGGTACATGTAAATATAGGCCCAATTCTTTCATTTTATTTTATTGAATTTGTAGTTTATTAAAAAGACAAAATCCCATGCAGAAATAGGACTTAATGTTTACTTTCGTATTGCATCTCTTGCTGATGATGGATATATTGAACTGAATTTAACTGCTCCACAAGATGAGCCATTTACTGGATGGAGTATTAAACCTCACATGAAACCTTGCAGGGTATGTATACCGTTGTACATTATGTGTTTTGCTTATGATTTGGGGGTTTTCCCTTTTCATGTGGACATGCATGTATACAATTGTACATGTACATG